TGGACCGGTCTCACGGCCACGGTCGTGCCCCGATCATTGCTATTGGCCACACAAGAAGAACATCCCTTATTACCCGCAGAAACTAGGTATCAGAATCACGCAGGGCAGAGCCAGGAGGGTGGATCCAGGGACCAGCAGTCGGCACTGAGAACAGGGGTGCCATCTCCTTGGAGGAGGGGTGAGGTACCCGCTTCAGGGGCACATGCGAAGTGCTGAGTGAGTGCTAGTGCCAGGCCTGTGTTTGCCCTGCCTGCCCGCCTCCTTTCACCCCGGGGGTGCAGAATGTCAGGACACCTGCTCTACCTTACTGTTTCTCTCCATCCCTGCTGAACGCAGGATGCTCCCTGAAATGGGTCTTCTGTCCAGGAGGCCGAGCTCAGGCCACAGCTCTGTGAACAGCGGTGGGTTCTGCTCTCACACAATTAATTTCAGCTTGATCTGGGGCTGCCAACCCCCAGCCTGGGTTCTCATCCCACTGAACTTGACCACAGGCTGGTCTGGACCCCTGAAATTGGCCTGGCTCACCCGAGTTCTGCAGACTGGACCTCTGGCCCAGTCCCTGTGGCTCCCCCACCCCTGGGTCTGGCCCCACCTCATCCTGCCCCCTCCAGCCTTCCCTGCCTTTTGCTGCTCATGCATGCTCTTGGCGTGCCCGCGGCTGCAGACAGGACCACAGAGCGCACTGGAATGCACCACGTTCATCCAGCGAGATGTATTCTCTCCATACCCGTGCAACACAAGTGAGTACTTGTAAGGGCTTTCGGCATGACAGTGTGGGATGATGGAATGCGCAGAACAGCATTTCAAAAACTGCTTAACAGAGCCTTATCCCAAGGAACATTTGGAGGCAGAACAGAGGGGGGCTATTGAAACAGGCTGCTTTCCTGCAGAATTTGTAAGAGACTTTCATATTTCACGAAGAGGAAGCTAGAAGGAGTCCCCACACATATCCGTGAAGATATTTTTCAAGAGCTCTCTCACAGGAGAAACCTGAGCAACGACGATATTCCAAAGCTGGAAAAGAAGCAGGCAGAGGAGGAAGGGCCAGGGCGCCCCTTAATACTCAGTGGGGTGCACATCTGGGAGCGGGTCCCGCCCAGCATGCAGATGTGTTTGGTTTGGCTCTGAATGTCTGACTTGGTTGCCAACATTTAAAACTTGGGAGACCTCACATAAAAATTTGGATTTCTGGCTTCTCTTAAAAGCCGGCCATGCTGGGTCTGTGATCCCTCCGGGTAAGTCTGGACGGAGGGTGCAGGGCTGCTTTCTCGAGAGAAGACTGAGCTTTGGGGGCTGCCCTCTGTGGCCGCTCAGCCTCATTATCTGCTTGGTCCCTGTGAGCCTTTGAGTTGGCAACCCCAGCTTTCTACCTGCTTCTCCGTCACCCTGAGCTTGATGGAAAATCACACTGGAAATAAACATGTGATACACCACACCACAGTCTCTGAGTCAGTCTAACTTGTCAGTGGAGAGCACTCCAGCAAAAGAAACTTCTCAGGTGTTCCCAGACTCAATACAGATGTCAGGGGCGTTGACCTATATACAATGGCAAGCATTTCTCTGACTCCAGCAGGATGTCCAAGAATTCAACTCATTTCTGACCCTACGGACCCAGAGACACCATCCGACCCATAGGTCGGAGGGCTCAGTCCCACCTGGCTGCTCCCCACCCCCACCCGTGAGACCCCAGCCTCCTGTTTCTGACCACCGACCACTACAGAACAGAGGATCCAACACCGTCCTCCTTAGGTTCAATTAATTTGCCAGGATGACTCACAGAACTCAGAGAAAGGCTTGGGTTGACCAGGTTCTTAAAGGACATCAGAAGGGATATGAATCAATAGCCAGAAAAAGAGGTGCATAAGGAGAGGTGCGGGCAGGGTCTCCATGCTTCTCCAGCCAGAAGCCACTCTCCCCAACCTGCTCATGCTCATCAACCCAGAAGCTCTCCAGTGCAGTCCTTTGGGGGTTTTATGGAGCCTTCATAGCATCATCATGATTGAGGAAGTCCCTGGCCATTGGCTTTTTACCTCCAGCCTTTTCCCCTCCCAGGATGGTCAGGGAGTGGAGCTGAAAGTTCTCCCTTTTAGTCACTTGGTTGGCTCCCTTGGCAACCAGCCCCCACCCAAGGGTGCTTTCCAAAAGGCATCTCATTAACATAACAAAAGACCTTTATCACTCTCAACACTCAGGAAATTCCAAGGTTTTTGGGAGCTGTGAGCCAGAAACTGTGGATGAAGACCAATATTTATGAGACATATGTTTTGGTCATTTGGATGACCAAATAGATATTTCTTATGAATCACAATATTGCACTAACTGTGGTCATTCCATGAAAAGTCCTAGGCAGAGGGGGATCCCAACTCTGTGACAGATAGTGGGGCAGCACAGACAGGGCTGGGGGGCTCAGAGGCTATCTTCATCCTCGTTAGACTGCTGGGCTGTTGGAAGCCCAGAGAATTCTGGGTGCCCCATTTCCTGAACTAACAATAGTAACTTTGACAACGTATCCTATTTGATACACAGGCAATGTGTACTGAGCCACGCACACTGGGCTTTTATAGGCTTACCACACCTCTGAGAGGTAGGGGGCATCATCTCTGCATGCATAAGCAAATGCACAAGGCTCTGCAAAGTCATGAGGACTCTGAAAGACTAGGCAACTACTTAGTGCTGGGGGACCCACTGTGGGTCGGTCAGAGCCCCCTCACTCCCCGCCTTGCTACTCTCAAATTCCATGGCACCCCAGAGATTAGGGCAGAAAAACATGCCCTACTCCCTGCTGGGATAAAGCAGCAAATTCCAAAGACTCCATGATTATCCTGGCTGTGGCCACAGGCAACATTAACTCTCATATTTGGATAGAAGTCAGCAAGATTTTACATCAGGGGTCAGTGCCAGCAAAGCAAACGATGACTAACATGAGCATCCCGAGGGGCCAGAATTAAAAATGTCTGATTAGCTTCAGATGTAGAGCTCGGGGTGTGGAATCTCCATGCAAACTCACAGAACAGAGCTGGGGATTACTGTAGAAAGTGATTTTTTTTTTTTAATGTTTAATGGATGAAGAAGGAAATACCATAATTTTTCTTGGCTCTCATAGATGCAAACAGCTCAGGCTAACACACCTTGTGTGTGTGGGGGGGTGGGGGTGGGGGGGAGCAACTGCTACTTTTTAATTTCCTGTCAAATGAAAATATAAACTTGGTCTTGAAATGGCCCGTAAGATTGACGAGCTATACGTTAAAATTATTAGAGTGTAATTAACAAATGGGCAAATGCTCATGATAAATCCTTAGGTAAAAATAAATCAAAATAAATTATTACTGACACTACAATTACTTAACCAGGTAAAGATTTGTGTGTTCATATGGACAAAGTAGGAACAAAACACGAAAAACACAAAGGCATTCATTGGTTTTGGTGAAAGACTCGCGAAATTGTTGGGATCATTCTACTTTTTGTTACTATTTCATTAACGCTGTGTGTGTGACTAGTTCTTAAAATTATTTAAAGGGTGAAGAAAAAAATTGATGGGCCGCAGAGAATTAACCTTCTTCTTAGAAGAACGAAGAAAGGGACCACGGCAGTGTGCTGGGACGATGTCAGACAGATAAGCCAGTTCTATGGAACAGAGCGCTGGGGGCATGTACGCAATCCAAAGTGGAGCTAGGAGTCAGTGGGAAAAAATAGATTTCCTTCTTCACATCACACCCGAAAATAAACCCAGGTAGTTGAGAAGCCCAAATGTGAGAAAGCAACACTAAACTTTTATAAGAAATTCAGATAATCTTTAGTCCTTCAGGGTAGGAGAAGGGTCTCTTAAATATGCAAAGACCATACACATTCAGGAGAAAAGGGACACGTTTAAGAATATTAAAATTAAAAAGCAATTTTTATGCAACAAGAGAAAACAAAGCTACATTCAAGGCATGGTCTTAAAGACTGTGTGTAGTAAAGAACTGATGTACAGATTAAGAAGAAATTAATGATTTTTTTAAAAAAAGTAACATCCAGTTTTTTGTTGTTGTTCTTGTTTGTTTGTTTTTTAAGGTCTGTGGGGGTGCCTGGGTGGCTCATTCTGTTAAGCGTCCGATTCTTGATTTCGGCGCAGGTCATGATCTCAGTCAGGGTCGTAGGATCAAGCCCTGAGTCAGACTCCATGCTGGGTGTGGGGCCTGCTTAAGATTGTCTCTCTGCCTGTCCCTCTGTCCCTCTCCCCACTCTTGCGTGCTCTCTCTCTTTTCCCTCTCTCAAAATAAAAAATTAAAAAAAAAATTTTTAAAAGGGCAGTCTCTAGAAAGGCAAGTCATGCAAGAAGAAAATCAAAGTGTTAATACACATAGGACAAGATGCTCATTCTTACTAATCAGAAGACTAAATTAAAAAGCACGTGAAATGCAATTGGACACCTGTATGCGTGGAAAAGTAGAGGTGTTCTGATGGCAGGTGTTGGCACAGGTGTGGATGGCAGGCCGTTAGAGACCACTGGAGGGCCTGTAGACCAGACAATCATTTTGGAGAGCAATGTGCCAACAGTCCATAGTTGAGGATGAATTTTTCTGAACGTCTCATAATTTCTCCTCTAGAAAGCTCTCTATGTGTAAACAGAGACATATGCCCAACTTCCTCATTGTTTCCAGTGGTGTGGAAAACCAGAATGACCTAAGTGCCCATTAATTAAAAAGCAGAAAAATAAATGAACTCACAAGACACGTATCATCATGGATCGATCTTAAAAACACGATGTTGAGTGAGAAAGGACACTGAGCATATGGTACCGTTTACATAAAAGAAAAAACAAACAAGTCAATCTTTAGGTATTACTTATAAACACCTACATGTCTACAAAGAGTCTGAAGACATGGTTGTGGATAGTGAACCCCCACATCGGGAAGCGGCAACTTTGGAGGGCACCTGCCGGGTGGGTCACCGTGAACAGAAGACCTTCCTCCCAAGGCAAGGATGGGGCCTCCCTCTCCAGCTGTCGCCTGACTCACCTTGGATGCCAGTTCCCAGAGCCGTTCCTCTCCCAGGTGGGGTTCTTGTGGGGACCCAGTTCTGGGGTTCCAGCCAGGTCCTGGTCACTGCCGTCTTCCTGGTCTGTGGCCCACTTATCTTTGGATTTCATGCTGTCGTGTTGGGAATCCAGGGAGATGATGTCTGAGGGGGAGCTCACCACTCCAGAGTCTTCAGTTGTGTCTTCTGATGCGAAACAGCTGCTGACAGACTCGGTCTCCTCGGCCTCACACGGCACCGGCGGGACCTTGTCCGTGCCGCAGGGACTGCTGGGGCCCAGGGGCAGGCTCACTGGACAAGACACGGCAAGGACAGGTCAGCCAGCACGTTTCTACACCAACCTGCCTGACTCACCTGGAAGCTGGAATTCAGGGCGCCAGGAATCAAGCAAGACCCGTTCCAACGCAATGGCTCCCTCCAGAAATATTTTAACTCGGAGGGAGCTGTAGGCATATATGTGATCGAGAGCAAAACTTGCCCTCAAAAATCACATTACAAATGAGCCTTTTGGATTTTTATCCTGTATCTGACTATGGGCAAGCACATTTAAAAATTCATACGAATGACTTGGTGAATGCAATTCTTTCCAGCCTGAGCCTTGGTTTCATTGAAGTTGTTTTAAAATGAGTTCTTTAAAAAAAATAATCATTTCCAAATATAAACAGACTTAGAAATAGCTAATACTGTTCGGGAACTTCTGACAAATGTTCAATACGAACATCTGAAATCTGACCTAAAGTATTAATGGTACACTTTGTCGGCATCTGGCTCCCCCTTCATTTTTATTTTATTTTTCCCCCCTTCATTTTTACATGCGAGACAGGGAGATCTGGTCCAAAGAAGAGGTGATCTTGGAGGATCACCTCCAAGAAGAATGAAAAAGAACCAGAACAAAAGTGTGTTTGGTGGAGGTCCTCTGGCCCCCTGAGCTCTTAAGTGAGCTTTACCGCAGCTGAAAGAATGAGATGCAGAGATTTGCACGGAGCAGAGCCAGAGTTCCATCATACTTTAAATATGAATGATGGGGGAACACTGTAGCCATCTGGCACACCTACCAAGCAAGCCCTTCAGGGATGGATACATTAAGCATGTAAGCAGAGTGAGCTTCCAGTTTCTCTGAGGTCACGGAACGCTCCATGCCCGGGAGAAGGACAGGAGTACGCAACTCTGGACCGGCTGCGCAGCAGGCTTGTCTTCTTTTAACTTAATGTAGAAACAGATTTTAAACTTCAGTATCTCAGCCCTGGTGGGCCAGGAAGGAAGGACTATGCTGTGTTGGAGTTTCAGTGTATTTTGTTTATTTATTTAGTATTTTTAATTTTTTTTTTTTTTTTTTTGTATTTTGTTTCAGAACCATTCCTCCAACACATAGCTGCTGGATACCTAACATGAATACCGGCCATCGGCGTCCCCGGTGCTCACTGCACATAATCAAGCCCCGAGAGTCAAGTGCCAGCATCCCCGTCCTCAACCTCAGCCACGGCTTCATCGGGACAGCAGGCTGGCAACATAGAATTAACGAGCCCAAAAGAGCGCCAAGGAGACCATTCCTTCAGGGGTTGGCTTATTTGAGATCCCGAACAATAAAAGAAACAAAAGAACAAAAATTAAACCAAACAAAACAGACATTTCCCAACCGAGCTCAAAAGTAAAGAGCGGGAGACAAAGGAGGAATTGTTTAGAGAACCAGCAGAAACGCACAAGGCAATGTGTCCGAATGCAGTGAATGCTTTTCACAATGCCCGCCTTCCGCAGCCTTCTTCCAGGCCTCTGTGGCCAGGCTCTTAATGAGAGGGTAGATGTGGAGAAGAAACGCTGCCTTCGGACCAGTCTAGCCAGACCTTTGCTGCCGCGGGTTTGCTGATGAGCTGTCGCACCTCACGCGGCTACCGGCCGCGCTGCCCACACAGCCGGGGACTCCACCCCACCGTGTCAGTCCGGGGACCCCCTCAGTGGGGCTCCACCACCCAGCCATCAACGGCAGCCCAGATGGCCAAGCCAGACCCTTGTTGCCTGCCTTCCCTTTTGTCACTGTCGCTGAACAAGTAGGTCAATTAAATTCACACTTTCTCTTCTATGTGGTATAGGACATGGTGAATGAGCACAAAGGTTTCAGGTCACAGAAACCTGCGTTCGAATCCCAGCAGAGCAGCTGAACGGTGGCCAGGCAGGGGTCTGGATCCCTTGGTCTCAGTTTTGTCTGGGAGGTGGGCTCATGGGCCACCGTGGGACTGTGGGGAGGGCTCAACGTGATGCCCGTCCAAGGTGCAATGGCCCTGGTGTGTCTCCACCACTGGGGTGGGGTGGGGTGCGTGTGCCAAGATGGGAAGGGCCCTGTGATCGGACCTGGGACACAGATTTCCGGTCCAAGAGTCTCGGCAATTTGGGGACCTTGCATGGTTTATGAGGGGACAGACACATACACAGAGACCGACGGTGCCATATGCCAAAGCCAACTCTAGGTGTCTTTGCACAGGTCGAGTGGGTCTGGCTGGTCAGAGGGAGGGGTCAACACACAGCAGGTACCAAATAGGGGCTCCATCCAGCTGTGGCCCCCTTCTTCCCACCGTAGCAGTCACCTCTCGAGTGTGAAGTAACCCCACGGGGTCTGCTCCCTGAAGCCGACCTCTCAACGGGCCCCGCCTGTGGCTCGGACGTTCTCCTGATACAAGCCCTGGAAACTCAGAATTCATCCCTGGTGGATGGGGGGCTCTAAGCCCACCCCACCCCCTTTCTCTCCAGTTATGAGATCCAGAATGCTCGTCTGGGCTTCCTTTATATCCTTCAGAAGTTTTGAGGAAAAAAAAAGTTGAAAGTCACTGTTCTAAATTAAGCCAACTGCAAACCTAAATTGACAATGTGTGAGAAGTCTATATTGAGCCTTTACGTGTGAAACCGTTTTCACAATATACAGTAAAGACTGCAGTTACCGGAGCTCCCCTCTTGCCCAGGCAAGCCCTCCACTTCTCATGGATTGCCTTCCAGGGCCTGGGTAACTGCATCCTTGAACCCACTGGACAGGTGTTCAGTGAGGGGCCCCCCAACATGCACCCTGTGGGGGGCCAGGGAGCTGGTGCTGGGCAGGAGCGGGTAAGGGCGCCCTGCTCTCAAGAGGGTGGTCTTACAGGCATCGGGAGGACGGGTGCATAAATGCTCGAGGAGAAGGAACGGGAGCAATGCCCCATGCAGCGGGTGGTGGGGACGTGTGGGTGAGGACGGGAGGACAGAACGACAGGGGGATGTGGGCACCTAGCCCAGGGGATAGGCCAAGGAGAGAGCAGCACGTGCAAGGGCTCAGACTCGTGTGAGCGACTTCCTGCCACACTTCTGGGGTAGCTGTCACAGATGGCACCGATTTGGAGATGGGAAGGAACATTCCTGGGAGGCTCCAACCTGGCTCAGTGCGGTTTTCACGTCTGTCTGCAGTCAGCTCTGTCAGTCTGAGAATCTTTGCTTGGAATCAGATACCCCCACCTCGCTCACCCTGCCCCGACTTCATGTCTTTCCTCCGCTGGGCTGGTTCCTGCTATTAACCCCGTGAGCTGTAACATGTTTTGACAATTTCTGAATAAGATGATGGATGGTGCAGGAGACTTGTTTTTTCTTTATCGATAAACAGAAGCCCCAAACATAAAAGCTTGGGGCTGCTTTGGCTGTCATGAGATTGCTTCTGTGCGCCCCTCATCTCCCTCACTTAGCCCCTGGTTCCGTGAAGCCAGTGCTTCAGGGACCCCAGCCTGAAATCCAGGGGCAGCTGGATTAAGGCTGGATGAAGAGCCGGAATCCTACATTGAGGTCCAAGTTCTCTTGGAACAGCCTTTCCTCTTTCTGTAAAATAAGGGGGTTCTGATGAGCTCTAAAATCCATTCTGGACACAGAATACTATCATTCTCTGACATCCCAAATCAGAATGTAAGATGCACACATTCTTCGAACAACTGACAGGTGACCGACTAGGAATTGTAAAGGAATACAACAATGTCAACATCCCTTCGGCTATCTTCTGTTGGCCCTAAAAGTGTAGCTCATGATTTTTGAGTTAATTAATTCGCTGGCAAGTTTGCTCTTCTCTTAAGGCGTGAACAACCTTTTGGAGCTAAAAAGTTACCATGGCAGGATTTTGGCAAATGTGAAGAACACACTTAATTTGTCGTTAGCAAGAAGCCTAATACAAATTCTCTTCCAAATTAATAGCCATAGAACCCGAATAAGGAATACTAACCATTTCATTGTCCTCCACCTAAATTTTATAATCCTATGGTTCAAATGCCATTAGATCTAAATGAGAGCTTCAGGAAATTTCTCTAGCTCAGACGTAAGGAAGAAAATGCTAACTTAAGGCTCTCAATTCCTCAAGGTGAACACTATCGTGTTCTGTTCAATACTAGTTTCATTGAATTTTTCTGTTACAAAGTCACCAAAGAAAATTTTAAACACTAAATATAAGGATCTCCCAAGGACTTCTGTAACAGATTCATTTTTGAGTGATTTTATTAAAGGCAAATGAAAGATCACGTATCCTATGATTTTGCTCACTTGCTGGTCATTACCAAGGGAGACATCCCAAGGGTCATTTCCACCACATTGATATGGACCAGAGAAAATGTCTCACAGAAAGGACTCTTCCCCATCTCATATTGATGCCTATGGTTTCTGCACACCATCCACAGCCAATAAGTGATGCTCATCCTTCATCTCCATCTACTGTGACTTAGTTCCCTATGTTCTAGGTACTGGAATAAAGGGAAAAATAAGGGAGCTACTGGCAAAGTGCCCCTGAACCAGTGGTGCAAGTTGATTTCGTCACACACAACCCCCAATAATTTTGAACCACTATGTACTCCTAACATTTTTAATTGACACCTGAAAATTTCCATCATGAGTTCAATGGGTTGCAACAGATGTAATTTCTACTGCATTGTAAATACTAATACTTTTAAAAATGTTTTTTTTTTTGAGAGTGAGAGAGAGCATGAGTGGGGTGGGGGGAGGGGCAGAGGGAGAAGGAGAGAGAATCTCAATCCGACTCCAAGCTCAGCTCAGTGTATAAATTAAAATTTAATTTTTATTTTCTCTCACCATAACATGGCAGTGTTAAATTCTTTCTGGACACGGAGTGGTTATGACTGTGATAATTAACAGAAAGCAGTCAATACAAATGGCATAAATGTTTTAGAAATTTTGACACTTGTTAAACAAAAAGGTGAAATTGCATTGAAAGGGCATCTCATAGTGAGCTAGATGAGGCTTTTTTTCAATTAATTCCTTTAAAATGACTGGATTATTTATCA